ATGTCATGCTAATTATAAATAGCTCTGTATAACTCCTCTATCTTACAGTGGCTCTGAAGTTACATGGGGAACCCAAGAGCCTGGTCTGGGCTCATCGGCTAAGTTCTCTCCTGATGGGAACTTGGTTCTGATGACTATTTGCCCATTGACCTTTTCCACACAACTAGATGATTATCAAAATTTAGGAAGATCTTTCTGGATTTTTTCTTCCAGGACTATATAAGAACATTCAGCGGTGACCCAGGCAAAGATGAGGAGTTGATTCAGGTTACTGATTTGCCAAGAGTCCTGGGTGTTAGAGGGATTAGGTCTCCTCATCAGAATGTGGGGAGACACCAGGTGCCAATCATTTAATCAGAATTTCCTGTGTTTGTGGTCTAACACCTCTCTATACTGTAACTGATATAGCTGCCAACCATGGTCGCTTGGTTATGTACCAGTGTGCTGGGTTAGATATTAACTGTTTTCTGAAGTTGTGTTTCCTTCTTCTTGATATAGTTCATAGTTTAGCAGGAAACTGTGGGGAATGAGGAGAAGAAAGAGAAAAAATTACAGCATGCATATTTATTGCTAAAAACAGGAAGTTCATAAAAGAGCCTGTACATGGGAAAATGAGGAAATAAATGTAAAACCTTTTTAACTATGAAGAAATAGATGTATAAATAATGGTTGTTTCAGTGCCAGAGTGTGCAAAGTGCACCACTTGGTCCAAGACTTCTTCCCCTACTGCATATATACTATTTCAAGTTTCCATCCACCTTCGGGGCTGGTCCCCGCAAAAGATCATATACTCTATCTGTTTGTAACCTTTTGAGCAAAGTCCACAGTGAATTCCGTAAATGCTGGCCTAATTCTCTCTCCCATCAACAGTGGATAAGTCTTTCCCTTTCCCACAGTCCCACCAGAGTTTGTTTTTTTTTTTTCTTTTATTTTATTGATCTTAGCTATTCAGATTGGAGTAAGTTGAAATCATATTGTACCATTTCCCTGCTGCTTAAAATTGTTCAGCATTTAAAAAAAAATAGCCTTTTATTTGGCACACATTTTATTTTTAATCATCGATATGCCTAATACTAAAGCAAACTGTGTCAAAATGCTTGTATTATTCAATAACAAGTGTTGCAGGCTTCTTACTCTTTATTGAAGTTTCTTATTTTCCCTTTTTTATTTAACATAGATTCTTCTCTCATACAATGCAATATTAACACAGTTTTTTCTCACTCTACTCTTCCCAGTTCCTCCCCACCTTCTCTCCAATCTCGATCTGCTCCCTTTTACTGTCTTTCTGTCTCTTATTAGAAAATAAACAACAACAACAAAAACAGGCTTCTAAAAGATAAAAACAAATTATAACAACATAACATATAAGATAAGACAAAAATCATCACACTAAGGTAGGATGAGTCAAACCAACAGAAGTAAAATGGCCCTAAGGGAAGGCACATGAGTCAGACACGCACTCATTCACACACGCAGCATTCCCATAAAGAGCTCTAATGTATACATAGAAGACCTGGTGCAAACCCATGGAAGCCCCTTGATTGCTACTTCCTTCTCTGTGAGATCACATGAGCTTTGCTCAGTGTCTTTGGAGGGATTTGTTCTCCTTGTTTCCTGCTTCTCCTCTGGTTCCCAGACCCCTACCTCCTCATCCTCAGGGTTTCCTGAATTTGATGGAGCCTTCCCACTTAGAGTTGTATATCCTGTGGTTTCGAGCTTAAATTATTGTCAAAACATTCAATAGTGCTGTGTGAATTATTATGGGAAATGTATGCATAACTAACAGTCCTCATCTGGAGACTTCTCTGTTTACAATGATACAAAACAAGTACTTATTATACATTGTATAATCATATGATTAAATGATTAATAGATAATTCAAACAAATTTTAGTCAATTTTGGTTCAGTATAGGTCAAACAATGACCCTTCTTTTTCATAAATAAATCAAGAATTGTTATGTTGAATCCAGGTCCTCAGAGAGCGTGCTGGGCACTGAGCCATAGTTGCAAGCTTCTCCAGAAGTTCCAAGCCTTGTTGGTCTAAGGTGGAAAAGGACAGAACTCAGAATAAAATATGTATCAAAATATTTATGTTCTGCTCCAGTCAGGGGTGTAGAAAAATGGGATTTTTCTCTGTAATAAGTGTTATTGTTCTTTTAGCTGGCCTGCTGATACCATTCCAGGTGGCTTCTGGGAGCTCAGGGCTCTGGAAAACAAGCCAGGCAGCAAAAAACCTCAGGAGGGTCCACTGGCTGCTGAGGGAAAGCTGACAGCTCAGTCCTGCAGATCAGCACCACAGCAGGGGGAGGTGAGCAGCAGAAGCTCACAGAGCCAAGTGAGCTCTAGCAGTGACTGTGGCAGTTCTGTGTGACTGACTGTCTGGGAGTCCAGTC